AGGAAGGAAGAAAATGGAGAGGGCAGGGGAAGTGACAAAATGGAAGATTGTTAGGCACAGCCATGCCTTTTGTGACAGTGGCCATCTGATAACAAATTACATTCCCTCTTTGGCCCTAGTATGAGCAAGTCTGTGTGAATTTTTCTCCTTGTCTTTCATTGAGAGTGAATAATCTAATTACCATTACAAATCTCACACTAGATCTTTAAAGATTTGATCAGCAGAAGGGCTGGAAAGTAAAATTCTTAGGCATCTGTAATTTAAACGTAACCACCCCTTAAGAAATATCTCACTGCTAGTAATATAATTGACAATAGCAAATTGTGGAAACTCTGCTCATGTGATGTGCAGAATTCAGGAGTTATGAGGAAGGTACGGCATACTTAACAGCCAAACTGTGGAACATAAAAGGATGTAAAGTGCATCAACTGTTAAAACTGGTCTTCAGCCTAGGGGTGGGAAATAATTTTACACGGAGGGCCAAAAGTGTCCTGGATGCCTTTATACAATGATTTGCCAGCAGATATATTAATTGTATTTTATAGGATACAAGAAACATTACAACTGATCAATTCTGATCATTCATTTTCAGAACTTGGACTGCTAAAAATGGTAGTAATTTTCTTAGTGGAATTATATTATAGCTCAACAGTAGCTATACTTTTAAAACATTTCTTAAGTGCAATACAGCAGCAAGAAAAGTCAGTGAATTGATACACAACAAGCAATTAAAAACAGTATTTCCAAACCCAGGCCTATTTTTAGTTTTCTTCACAAGTTCAGCGCATAAACTGAGCAATATACTGGTGTCAGCTAAAATGAGTTAATACTCCAATTAGGAAACACTGCAGGATTTATTTTTTAAATATATGAACTCTCTACAAAATTTACAGTGAGAACTATTATTGTTAATGAAATAGCACTTTCTGGAGGGAAAACTGCTTTTGAAAGGAAACTATACGGGGGAGGGGGGGAGGAGGAAACCAGAAGAGGGTACTTAGCAGTGGCATTTTACACTAGAGAAATTATGCAATAATATAGTGATTGTATCTCTAATCCCCATTTTACAGTTTGCAAGACATATCAAGAAATCTGAAGGCCAGAAAACACCAAAAGTTGAACTACAAATCTCAATTTATGGTGTAAAAATTCTAGATCCAAAAACAAAGGTAAGAAGTTTAGCTTCATACTTGTTTGCTGCCCGTGTTTCATTCATCATTGGTTTAGAAATTCCATTTTAAAAATCTCTCTTTTAGTAGTTTCTTGAAATGCAAAACTCCGTGCTTATGAAACAATTGTAAAAGATTCCTATACTATGGGTTGCACTAAATTGGGACTCTCCAGTCCAGCAGCATTCATGATTCGGCATGACCATGGATGTTCCTGGATGAGAGAGCCCCGGAGCCCGGTCCAGCCTGGTGCCAGTGCAGCCCAAGCAGCAGTGGAGCTTAATCAGGCCTGCATGCTGCCTGGCAGCGGGGCCAGGACCACATCAGCCTGGGCAGCAGCAGGGGCTGCAGTATCCTGGCTGGCAGCGTGATTGGGGCGGTTTGCCACCTGGCAGCAAGCCTGGGGCTGCAGCCAAAACAGCTCAGGAGCGGAATGCTGGCTGGGGCTGGGGCATCCCGGCAGAAGCAGTATGGCTGGGGCCGCATGCTCGGTACCATGCAGGGGCTGCCCAGCGGGCAGCCTGACTGAGCCAAAGGAGCCGGCAGTGAGGAGGTGCAGCACGCTGAGGGGCCTGAATCAAGGGACCTCCCTTGACCAGCAAATTCCCTCATCTGAGACTGGTCCAATCCTGAGTGTGCTGGACCAGGGAGGTCCAACCTGTAGTTAGTATAAAAATTATTTTGCCAACATGCTCAAATCTCTATAACAGAACTACTAAGGGAATTTTCCTTCAATATAGCAATACAAAGAAGGCAGTGTGCTCACATCTCAGTGATACTTGTTTCCAGCCCTCCTCTGTCCTGCAGTTTGAGAGAACATGGAATAACAAATAGCTGTGGCAACTATGAGTTATGTGACTATTTTACGGGGATAACTAAATATGTACTTTTGTACCTGACTTTGTCAGCCATTTATATTTACTGTGACACTTCTCTTCCGCTATTTTGGATAAGCTACTTGGTTTTCTTTCTCCTGTTTAATTTTGTTTCCCTCAGAAGGCTTTAAAATCCAGTTGTGCAATAGGTATGGCTTTGTAACAATGGCAGCAACTGATTTCCTGAAATATATGGTCAGAACTGTGGTCATTTCTACAGTATTGTAGTTCAGAGTCTCCCTATTCTGGTGACAAATGTAATTTCATTTACAGAAACAAAATTACATACACACACAAAAAAAGCCTTCCCTCAAATTCAAAGAGGAAAAATTATTTAAATGCCCATAAACAGAGCTTAAAATAGCATAGGTCTAGTTATCAATAATTTTCAATATTCTAAAGTCATTCAACTATTATACATGTATTATTTTTAAAATTTCAATAAACACTATACATTGCTATATATTATTATTTTGAGATGAATATTGCAAATCAGTATATTATTATAGTGCAAGAGAAGCCAAGTCCTTTTAATTCAAGGATATTTTTACTTGCAAACTTTTCTGCTTGAGACTCTTTAAGTGACAGTGTGTTCAAAGTTAGTAAGTAGAAAAAAAAACCAGCAATACTAGGTTGACTTCACTATAGTTCTGTATCTTCCATTGTGGGATAAAAAAATGATTTCCAATGCTTTGTCGTTCAAAATTTTTTCTAAAAAATATGTTTAAATGATTATTTCTTGCTGTAAAAGTTATAAGGAGCTTTACAGAAACATATGGAACACAAGTTGCTAAGGGAACAAGACATTTTAATCCCTTAAAATATTATAACAAGCTTTAATAAAAATCAACTACCTCTTATCTACTTCAAAATATATGAAAAGCAAGACAAAGACCAAGGGCAGGGTAGCTCCACTGCACAATGAAGAGGGAAAAACGATAACAGAAAATGTGGAAATGGGGTTTACCACCGTCGAAAGAAAAGCCACGTTCTTTCGATTTAAATTCGAAAGAACGCGGCTGTAGTCTAGACGCAGGTGAAGTTTTTTCGAAAAAAGGCTACTTTTTTCAAAAAAAAAAACCTGAGTCTGGACACAGCCTAAGGCGCTACAGGACTCCTTGTCGCTTTTATAGTATATCTAGACTTCAGTAAAGCATTTGATACAGTCTTGCATGACCTTATCATTAAACTTGGAAAATACGATGAGATGGAGTTACTATAAAATGGGTGCCTAACTGGGTGGATAAACATTCTCAGAGAGTAGTTATTAATGGTTCACTGTCATGCTGGAAAGGCATAACAAATGGGGATCTGCAAAGATCAGTTTTGAGACCAGTTTTGCTCAATATCTTCATCAACTATTTATATAATTTCTTAAAGTATGTGGATGATTCCACAGTAAAAGGGTTTGCAAGTGTGTTGCAGGATAGGATTATAGTTCAAAATTATCTGGACAAACTGGAGAAATGTTCTGAGGTAAATAGGATGAAGTTCAATAAGGACAAAGCACTCCACTTAGAAAGGAAAACACATACAAAATGGGAAATCACTGCCCAGGGAGGAGTACTGTAGAAAGGGATCTAGGAGTCATAGTGGACTACAAGCTTAAATATAAGTCAGCATTGTAACACTTTTGCAAAAAAAGCACACATCATTCTGGGATGCATTAACAGGAATGATATAAGAAAGATACGAAAAGAGGCAATTCTGTATAGCCACTGCCAGTTGCCCTCAGCCTCCCATTTAAGAAAGGAGGAAGCAATCCTTGCTTGTGTTCAGAGAGATTAGCTATAGTGTGAAGACGACAGGCTTTTCTGTTTTTTCTCTTCACCGTTTGGGTCATTAAAGTAGAGAGGGAGCAGCACTAAGGGCAGAAAATGATGAGGGGACTGAGACTGACACTACCATGTTCTAAACATGGTTCTGTCTCCAACTTCCCTGAGTACGGTATTCTTAGCCTGACAGCAACTGGGAGCCAAAAAGTCCTGTGTTATAATCTTGGTTCTGCTTTTGCTGTGTGGCCCTAAACAAGTGATTCAGAGATTGGATTCTGGGAGATGCCAAGTGCCTCTTCCTTCCACATTCTTGGAATATTCACCTTTTGTGAATATTCACATTCTTGGAATATTCACCTCAGTGGGAATTAAATCACCTCAGTGAACTGGGCTTCAACCTGTTTCCCCACTTTTAGAGTCAAGATTTGTTCAACACTGTGTAACAGCTATATTATTTGGGAGCAGTGGCCGCCATTTTGTGATATCCTTTGCAAAGTCAAATGGAGACCTGGTCCATGGCTAGGGCTCCAAGGCAATACCATAATTAAAAATATATATATTAAAAACAGACAAACCAATTCAGAGAAAAGGAAAAGATTCCTTCAGCTACCCTAAGGTCAGTAACAATTAAACTGAATCATTCCCAGCAAAACAAAAAAGACAAAAAGCTATTGTCATAACATCTGAAAAAATATCGATACACATTTATAAAAAACTCTTCTAACTGATTAAAAGTGAGTTCAGCTATTTGTACATATAAGTACAAAGGGATAATGTGTTTGTCTTGGAATAAGCTACTTACCCTCTATTTACAGAAACACAATAATCGTGTTCCTTTTGACATTGTCATAACACTGCATGTATTTTAAATCTGCTTTTGCTGAACTTCATATGAAGGCTTAATTCATGTATAATTCTGAAGTGTTAAGAAAAAAAGAAAAAATAAAATCATAGAACTCTAGAATTAGAAGGGAACTTAAGAAGTCATCAAGTCCAGTCCCCTGCATTCACAGCAGTACCAAGCAACACCTAGATCATTCCTGACGGATTTTTGCCTAAACTGCTCTTAAGTATCTCCAGTGATGGAGATTTCACAGTCTCCCTAGGCAGTATTGACCTCCCTGATAGGAAGATTTTTCTAATGTCCTACCTAAACCTCCCTTGTTGCCATTTAAGCTCATTTTCTCTTGTCCTATTATCAGAGGTCAATGAGAATAATTTGGCTCCCTCATGCTCCTTGTAACACCCTTTTAGATGCATAAAAACAGTTTTCATATTGCCTATCAGTCTTTTCTTTTCCAGACTAAACAAACCCAAATCATTCAATCTTCTCTTATAGGTCATGTTTTTAAACCTTTACTCCTTTTTGTTGCTCTTCTCTAGACTTTCAGTATAATATCTCCATATCTTTCCTTAAATGTGGTGCTCAGAACTGGACCCAATACTTCAGTCGATGCCAAATCAGTGCAAAGTAGAGCAGAAGAATTACTTCCGTTAGAAGGCTCCTGTGCTGTACGCTAAGGTGGCACTCAGATCTTAAAATAATACAGGTACAAAGGGTGAATGCAGAGGCTATAAAGTAAAATTTGGAGAGCTAAACAAACTTTGTGCAGAGGGTGAAGAATGGAAGAGAGCCAAAACGGAAGGGATGCGGAGTGTGTCCTGGGATGTAGGAGAAAGAAAGAGAGCTTAGAGGTGGGAGCAAATCTGTTATCCCAGCACAGGAATCCACATTTTTTTTTAAGTAGATAATAGCTCACATATCAACTGCATATTTTCCTTCCTGGTTAGTACTGCTTTCCCATGCCTACAGCCAAATGAAATAAAATACCAAGAATCTGAAGTGCCTTCCAGAATCTGAGAGTGACAAGTGGAGAATGCTTTCAGAAGTCTTAAAAGAGCAACATTCCAATATGGAAATTTCAGAACCCAAACCACCAAAAAAGAAAATCAACCTTTTGTTTGACATCTGATTCACATGATGAAAATGAGCATACATTGGTCTGAATTGCTTTGGTTTTTTATTTGACCAGAATCCATCGTTAGTATGGATTCATGTCCTCTGGAATGTTGATTGAAAAATATGGATCTTCACCATATATGGAACATAAGAACTGCAATGCTAGCTACAACAGTGCAGTGTGAATTACCATTCTCACTTTCAGATGACATTGTAAATAATAAGTGGACAGCAAATATAAACACACTTGTTTGAGCAATTGGCTGAAGAAGAAGTAGAAATGAGTGGACTTGTAGGCTCTAAAATTGTACGTGGTTTTATTTTTGAAAGCAGATTTTTTTGTACATAATTCTACATTTGTATATTCACCTTTCATGTAAAAGAGATTTCACCACAGTATTCATGTGAAATTTTAAAAATACCATTTCTTTTGTTTTTACAATGCAAATATTTGTAATAAAAATAAAATAAACACTGTACACTTTATATTCTCTCTTGTAATTGAAATCAATCATAGAATAATAGGGTTGGAAGAGACCTCAGGAGGTCATCAAGTCCAACTCCTTGCTAAAAGCAGGACCAATCCTAACTAAGTCATTCAAGCCAGGGCTTTGTCAAGCTGGGACCACCTCTCTAGGTAACCCATCCCTGTACTTCACCACCCTTCTAGTGAAATAGATTTTCCTAATATCCAACCTAGACCTCCCCCACTTCAACTTGAGCTCCTCGTTCCGCCATCTGTCACTACTAAGAACAGCCACTCTCCATCCTCTTTCAGACCTCCTTTCAGGTAGTTAAAGGCTGATATCAAATGTTCTTTCTCATTATTCTCTTCTGTAAACTAAGCAAGCCCAAATCCCTTAGCCTCTCCTCATAGGTCGTGTGCTCCAGCCCTCTAATCATTTTTGTTGCCCTCCGCTGAACCTTCTCTAATGCATCCTCATCCTTTCTAATAATGTGGGGCCCACAACTGGGCACAATACTCCAGAAGTGGCCTCACAAGTGCTGAATAAAGGGGAATAATCACTTCCCTCGATCTGCTGGCAATGCTCCTCCTAATGCACTCCAATATGTTGTTACCCTTCTTGGCTACAGGCGCACACTGTTGAGCCATATCCATCTTCTCATCCACTGTAATCTCCACGTCCTTTTCTGATGAACTGCTGCTTAGCCAATTGGTTCCCAGCCTGTAGCAGTGCATAGGATTCTTCTATCCCAAGTTCATGACTCTGCACTTGTCCTTGTGGAACCTTATCAGATTTCCTTTTGGAAATCAAAATACTTGAAAACATTAAAAAACCCAAAATATTTAAATAAATGATATTCTATTTTTAACAGTGTTATTAATTGTGATTAATTTTTAATCTCTTGACATTCCTAGTAATTATTTAACCAGGTTGGTGATCTGGGCATGTTAAAGATTCAAATAGTCCTTTAGCCCAGGTCTGATAAAAAGTCATAGAGAGGAAGTATCATGACAGGAGAAAGAGAGGAATGGAGCTAGCTGAGCTCAGACAGGGCACATCTACACAGCAGGGCTAACTCCAAAATAAGCTACTCAATTTGAGCTATATCAATTGTGTAGCTTAAGTCAAAATAGCTCATTTTGGCTTTTGCCGTGGTATATACAGCAGGAAGTCCGAGAGAGAGCACTCTTCCTCCAACTTCCCTTACTCCTTGTAAAATGAGGGTTGCAGGAGGCAGAGTAAGAAGTCCTCCAGCTCGACATTATTTTGACATTGTCAGAATAATGGCTTGCTGTGTAGACATGGAATGTGTTATTTTGGATTAATGTCAGTTATTCCGAAATAACGCTGCTGTGTAGATGAACCCTCACTGATATTAGAGACTTCTGTTTCCCTCAGGACCTAAGGAGAGTGCCAAACACACTGGCTACGTCTACACTGGCCCCTTCTTCGGAAGGGGCATGCTAATTTTGAAAGTGGGAATAGGGAAGTCCGCGGGGGATTTAAATATCCCCCGCGGGATTTAAATAAACATGTCCGCCGCTTCTTTTCCGGCTTCGAGAAAAGCCGGAAAAAAGCGTCTAGACTGGCCCGATCCTCCGGAATAAAGCCCTATTCCGGAGGATCTCCTATTCCTACCTCGTCCACGATCTCCGCACTAGGCACAGGAAAGTGGCCGTCTTGGGCAGGATAGCTGCCAGCCTGGCCACCCAGGAGCAGGTTTGCAAGAGAATCAAGGGGGTCCACTGAGACCCCCGACTCTGAGCCCTGAACTTACAATGGCCGTACTGGGTCAGACCAAAGGGCCAGCTAGCCCAGTAGTCTGTCTGCCGACAGCGGCCAGCCCTAGGGACCCTGGAGGTGATGGACCGAAGACAGTGACCAAGCCATTTGTCCCGTGCCATCCCTCTCCAGCCT